TAAAATATAAGTTACTCAAGGACACACTTAATTTCAGTTTTATATTTGAATTTTTCTTTTACAAACCCAATGATGTTATTCATTAGGGAAATTGTTCCCTATTTAAAGAAACACCAATATTTATTGCTCCACCATAGCAACTGAAATATCAATGAAATATTTTAAAACAGAAGGAAAACATTTATTTCTGCATTTCTGTCCACTTCTTTCCTAGAGATGAATGTTGCCACCCATTACTTATGTAACTATTTTTTTCAGAGACAAATCCTTCCTCAGACATCATTATAAAGCTTTAGTATAAAAGCAGAATTTCACTTATCTGCCTATATTAGGCTTGATTTAATCTGTATTTTCCTTAATCACTATTGGTTGGATTCCATAGCTCAAAACAGCTGATCATTCGATGGGTTAGACAAAAATCCTACAACTGTAATTAATTGTGATTTTCTTGTTTATTAGAAAAGGTTTTGGATAGTCCTATGTGGCCTTTCAGAATATCTGCGTTCTTGTAATCAACAACTTAAATATTCTTAAAGAAATTCTGTATTTATCAGTCATAGAGAGGCCTCAAAAGAGAGTTCAGTGGCATGGTGAATTAGGTCAAAGAGAGAATTTGTATGCAGTCAATTCAACCCAAATAAAAAACGAGTAATGAAGAGGCACTTTGCATTTTTATGTTTGTCACAGTATGAATGGTTACATTTCTAGCCTTTTAAAATTTTAAGCAGAAATAATTAGGCAGCATATATGTTTAGGAATTAAATGTGTTCCTCTTCGAAAAGAAAAGACATAAAAGCTTAGACTACAAATTAACTCCAAAATAGCGCTACGTTCCTAAAGCTGTACTATGGCGAGTTACACACTTTTACTGGAGCATAACATTATTCTTATATTCTTGAGTATATTCTTATACTTCTTTCACCAAGTCTGTTAGGTTCTATAATTCATAGAATGCAGTATAGTATATAGTATATACTTCAAAGGTATTTTAAACAACTATTTAATTATTGATGCTTCCCAAATACTCTAGGTAACTATTTTTCTAACACAACATAAAGCCCAGTGGACACTGATTTTATTTATGCAAGTTAAAATGTGAGTTTTTATAGAATTTAGAAAATTCTATTTCACTTATACATTTGTAAGTGAAATAATTAATAGTATTTTTAGACTCATTCAGAGTACACTTTGAAGGCCACATGCGTCAGAGTGGGCGAGACCGATTTATTTTCAGTAAAAGGAGAATGGCAGATTGATCTGTTCTGCAGTGATGTTCTGTATTGTGATAACATGGTGACATCAGTGTCAGTACATTCATTGGAGATCCTTTAGCTTTCTGTCAGTGTCTCTTTCCTGTTAAGTGTTTGTCCTTCTGGCAGCAGCCATGTTGGATGGAGCATGAAAAATTCTTCTGGTGAGTACCACTGCTCTCGCCCGCTTTCATTAAGAAGTTCTCATTTGGACTAATTGAGGTCGACTTTGGACAAAAAGGGAAGAAAGGTGTGATGTGCAGCTGGTCACCTTTGAAATAGACCAAGCTTTCGAAATCTCATTTTATATCTCCCGCCAGGCCAATAAAACCAATCACTTTCATTTGATGAAAATATTACTTCACATAGATTAGCTCATAAAATGCCTATAACTGTTTATATCCTATTATTAGGTCTTGCATCTGCAGATTTAATGATGATTGCTGATGTCTTAGGTAGTAGTGATGAGCTCCCTCCCTCCATGCAATGGATGTGCCCTCCCCCCTTCAGTTTCTTACCTGCAACCCTCTTCAGGTGATTAGTGGGCTATAATTGAGTTGGCTGTAAAAAAAAAAGGATAATTAACTGACATTTCTGTCATGTGGGGAGGTCACATTGCTCTGCCTCTCTGTGGCAGTTAGGGGGATCGTTGTACCTGCTGGTTTGTCCCTGAGGCAAGAGTCTAACCTTTATCCAGCAGGTCTTGTTATAATTGTTCTAATTAAAAAACGCACACGGGGGGTCAGAGACAGAGACTGGTCTCTCCCTGGTTCCTGCTCCTCTCCAGCCTTGCTTCTTAAAGATGCGCTTCTCTCTTCCCCCGAAGTTGCAGGGAAGAAAGCCTGCGTTTTGGCAGGAGTGTCGCATCCAGATGTACAGGAAATTACAGACTAGCAAAATCGAGAGAAACAGGCTCAATGGATTAATCCTGCTAAACAGCAGCGGGTATTTGAAGGGCAAGTAATGGCTAGTAATAGCAGTTAATGTAGGAAATCATACTGATTGTTGCTTTGAATGCCACTTGGCACTTAAATCTTCCGTAATTATTTTGGAAAAATGATTATTATTGAAATGAAATTATATCCAGCTTTTTTGGCATGCTTTCCCTGAATACCTCACTGCTATTTTAATATTTGCTTTGCCACAATAGAGGCTTACAGTTTTTATAAATAAAGGTTTCCTCTAGTTAATGTTTCATACATTTTCTCCCAGGTCGTATCTTTGTTTTCCATGTGGATATACTTCTGTCTTTTATCAGTGTGAAGAAAAAAAGGCTTTAGAGCTGATTTAGTGATAGCAAGTTCATTATTTACTAGGTCTTTAGCGTGTAGCTAATGTTGCAATGCTTCTCTGGGCTTTAAGAAATACTGTTGTATTACTGCTGCATGGCTTTGTTCTTGTTCGAGTCAGTTCTTAGCTCTAGCTGGAAAAACTACAGAAAGGTGCACAACTCAAAGAAGCCTCCCTTGAGAATCTTCTATGGAGGTTTCATAGAATCATGCATAGTGTATCAATGTTTTAAATGACTCTTCTTTTAAATGTTGATACCCATACTTCTTGACATAATTCAAAGTGAAGTAAAACTATTGAGATAATTATCCATTGTGGTTTCTTTAGTAGCAAAACTGTAGGTATTAATTCCTGAGAATGATTTTCTGTAAGAGCTACTGTTTGTACTGAATGTGTATGCAGAGCAAAAGTGCAAAGTGTATCCCTTAGAGAGCCCTATTTGGGCTGCTCAATTTATTCCTTATCCTTGGAGGAGTTTCTTAGATTAAATAAATAAAACTGAAAAATCCTCTATTGTGCTAGGCAGGTAAAATGTATACTTCTGTTCTTTCATTGTGATTTAAGGGTTTTTTTTTTCGGGAAATGCCAATTCTATAATGATCTTGAGACCTTTTAAAATAAAGACTCTTGTTCAAATAAGATTGCATGTCCCACCCATAGAGCAGCAAAGCTATTAAATGACCTATTTCATTTCTAGTTGTCTGCTCTGCATTAAGGCTAATTTTGGTTCAGTATAGAAACAATTTCTTGTAGCTGAGCTAAACTGGAGTCGGTGCAATTTTCGATTCAGAGTGCATTAAGTAAAAAGGCTGCTCTGCTGGAGAATGCACTCCATGCTGCCTGAAAGGGCACTTAGTGCTTCCTTGCACTGTGACATATTGTAAGATGTCATACCCAGGGGTTTCCAAGGAGACACACAAATAGGAGCCTGGTGGATGCGGAGAAGCAAGCAGTCTTGAAGAGCTGCTGTTGAAATGGACATAATTTCAAGTGGATTTTAAAGTTTGTTCCCTCTTCCCTTGATATAACCAATATATCTTGGACAGGAAACTCATTTTTGTTCTGTAAAAAAAAAACAAAGTAATGTGTAAAGAGACGCTCCACTGTGACAGTAATTCTTGGTCAATGAGGCAAGACATCCCATAATCCTGTGATGTTTACAAGCTCAGTGATACCTTGGTCGCCAGCATCATTGGTTGTGTTAATGAATGCAGTGTCTACTTCAAGTGAACTGTGAATTTGAGTGACTTGCCACTTAACTGAAGAAAGGCCTTGAGTCTGATTTTCCCTATGGGCAAACTGCCCACCCCAGCTCATTGTTCAATGAGCAGGTTGGAGATTGTTTGCCCACAGGGCAAGTAAGAAATCTATGTATAACATGTTTTTAGAAGCAGTATTTGAGTTGAGGATTATTACTGACAAATTAACTACTACCCAGTGCGAGTGAGACCACTTGTTTCTTCAGTGTAGTTAGTGAATCCAGTGATCCGCAAAACTGGTGAGCTAGTCATCTGGAGCCTCTTTCCTTAGGGAGCTACAGTATAACTGTGGTTTGAAAACGTCATGTGAAGAAATTGTCTTCTCTCCTTACCCTGTTTATTTTACCAGATCAGAGAGTAGTGGAATAGTTATGCGATTGCTTCTGTTTTTTATCAGTTTTATGATTTTGAGAATAATGCTATCTGCAGGCATATACAGTATATTGCAGGTAACAGAAATATAATCTACAAATATGTAATGATATCAAAGAGAGAAAGACTTAAATGTTTGTGTAAAAAAAATTTAATCTTCCAGGCAATTTTGAAAATAGTTTAAATCATATCGGGGGTCAAAGGAGATGATGAGCTAAAATGACTAGACCTTTTTGGTCTTGATCAAAAAAAGACTACAATGGGACCTGATTTGCATATTCAAAAATGCATTGTCAAAGTGAACCAACTAGAAAACACAAGCAGAACCTACGAGGAAGAGCAAAAACATAAGAAGAGGCTCTTCTTTATACAGATAAGTGTAGGAGTATGGACGAAGAATCCCCTGCCCTGCTGCTGGGGCAGATGCACTAGCTCTGTGAAACGCTTAGATCAATTAGCTACTGACAAAACCAACTGGATGATCTGAACAGTCTGCTTTTGATTGGAGGAGACTGTGGGGCGGAGCGGTTCCATTGTGGCTAAGGATCTGCGCCTGTGGCTGGAAGGTTGCCGGTTCAAATCTCGCGGCCGGCAGAGGAATCCTACTCCGTTGGGCCCCCGAGCAAGGCCCTTAACCCCAGCTGCTCCAGGGGCGCCGTATAAATGGCTGACCCTGCGCTCTGACCCCAGGCTTCTCTCTCCCTGTCTGTGTGTCTCATGGAGAGTAAGTTGGGCTATGCGAAAAGACAAATTCCTAATGCATGAAATCGTACATGGCTAATGAAGTGATCTTATCTTATCTATTGTCACCTTCCTTGTATTGTTGCAGGTTTACGTAGGTTTTCAGAGCTAGAAGAAGATTGGCACCCACCTCCAGCCAATCAGCGAGTTGAAGCGGGACGTGCGAAATTCCAGAATCTCATGTTAGCCCCTCCACCTCCCAACTACCAGCCTTTTCTACTGGTGGATGAAACGGAGAAGGTATGACAGATACTTTTATTAAAAACTGATTTGTGTGATTAGAGAAATTCACAAGGCCAGCATTAACTGCAATTGTGGGCTGCAGTCAGGCCAACAGCCATATCACCCTGCAGCCCACACCTGGCCGCCCACTGAAGCTCAGCAGGTGTGAGCCTGGCCAGTACCTGGATGGGAGACTCCTGGGAAATGTTGCTGCTGGAAGAGGCGTTAGAGGGGCCTGCGTTCTATGTGGGTCCTAATGCCCCAGCATAGAGACGGGGAAACTATACTGTAAAAAGGTGCCGTCCTTTGGATGAGACATAAACCAAGGTCCTGACTCTCTGTGGTCATTAAAAATCCCTGGGTGTTTCTCGAGAAGACTACGGGTGTTACCCCAGCATCATGGCCAAATTTCCCATTTCCTGTCATGGCCTCCTAATACTCCCCATCTCTGAATTGGCTTCATCACTGTGTTCTCCTCCCCCCTAGTAGCTGATTTGTACGTACTGGTGCACTCGGGCTGCTGTTGCATCATCCTGGTAGGGCAACACATTGGGGTTGATGGAGGGGAGTCCCCGTTACCTGTAAAGTGCTTTGAGTCGAGTGTCCAGAAAAGCGCTAAAGAAATGTAAGGAATTATTTTTGCAGTTGTTTTAATTAAAATTTAAGATCTGAGGTATAAGGGAATGTTCCTCAAAGATGGTTGTTTGCTTTTGAGCCCATCATTTTAAGTTTGTGCTGCCATTTGTCTGAAATATAGTGATTAATTCAATGATGAATAAATATTTTATATTTTTTGGTGCAGAAACTGATCCCTACAACAGGATCATTTGTATTCTAAAATATAATTTGTTGTACACCTGTGCAGGCTATGGATGCAGGTTTCTTTGTATGAACTGAAAATTGAATTAAGCTTCCAATTAGTTGGTATGATTTGTTTTTCAATGTTATGTTAAAACTTTGCAGTTTTTCTATTCGTTGAAAGCTACAGTATAGCTGTTTTACAGAATGAAGCAACCATTCAAATATTGCCTTACATGTGAAAATAAGAAGCCAGACTTGCAGTACACAACACTGTGTATCATTGTGAACTGTAATTGAATTTGAATGCTGTTTATGTTCCTTCTTATGTTGTTGTTCTGCACGTGTATTTGTGTCCTTTAAACTGCAAAGGAAAAGGCAATAAAGTATTTGAACCAAGGATATGAAGGGTGAAGCCTCTGTTTCCTTTTGGCAATTTCCTTGTGCTTCTCTGCCCTTGATAATAAGATCATATTGTTAACTGCTTGTGGAACATGCCATCATGTTCTTTTATCTGAAATTCAAAAGTTTTGTTTTTCGTTTTTAACTATGAGTATTTTTCTCATCTCTCAGCAAAAAGGAGCGAAGAAGCCAGCTGGCAAAGGGCCTTCAGAAAAAGCAGAGAAACTGACATCATCCCAGGAGAAGAATGCTGACAGCAGGTAGGAATCTCGGCTTTATGCCGAGATAAAGGGACTTGTTTTATGAACTGCAAATTTGATATTGAAATATGTGCCTTCCATCCTCCTGTGTAATGTCACAGCATGTGTAAAAAGGGTGACCCTTATACTTCTCCTTCAGAGATCATACTGGAACTTGAAACATTGAGGTTTCATGTATCAAATTAAAGGCCTTGGTTGTTTTTTTGCCGTTTATTTCTGAAGTGCATTATTTGTTTTCAAACGTGTTCTCTGAATACAAGCAATCAGAACCAAAAAGGGATGCTCAATTCAAACATCGCAACATTTTAAGCAAAAAAAAAAGTCTGACATTTTAGTCTCATGTATTTATTTGCCTATTGGTGCAACATCTCAGTTACTGGACACTGCTTAACATTTTAGTGCAGAAATAGAAAAAAACGATAAAGTGTTAATAGCACATTACAGTTTTTAAAGACATTACTGGTGATTTTTTTATGTGATTTTATGTTTTACATTAGATTAAATAGCACTTAGTGATTTCTTCAGAAGACTGGTAGTAGTGTACGATGTACACAGCATGGCATTAGCAGAGTTAGAGTCCCAGGTGTTAGCACTAGCAGGATATTGCTTTGAGGGGGGCTTGCTTCTCTGTCAGTCTCTCTTTTCTGAGCAGACAGCTGGGAGGGAAAGGCTGTTTAGTTCTGCAAAGGACATAGCAAAGTGAGAAGCTATAGAAAAAGGTTACTATATAGCCAGAAAGTTGAATAGAAAGCAAGTTTTCCTTTTTGGAAACCTCTAACAATGTAAACTCTCACAGTTAACAAATCGCTAGTTAATTGCTTCCCCTCCTGACATCCCACATCAATCAAAGACAGCATAATTAAGGGGGGCAAACCCACTGGGGGTTTATTCTGCCTGTATCCAGTGTTTGGAAGATAATTGGACAGTAGGAATTTTCTCTTTTTGTCCCAGATTACTGCTGCAGTGCTCCCGAATGCTCTCTAGTGGCCTACTCAAGCATTTTATAACGAGTGATGGAATTTAACTTTTTCTGTTTGGGCAAATAATTATTTTGCTTGTTAAGAATTTCCATGGCAAAAGACTTTATTGCTTAATTTTTTGCGTTGTTGTTGATCAGCCAGCTGTGAAACAAAACAAAAAAACTACAGATTTATTTTTTCTGAATAAATGGTAATAATTATTTAATTTGTGGATCAACTCTAATAAATTAATCCATGGTAGAACTGAAATGCAGATGGTGGACTTTGCATTTCAACTTTGCAGTTGGACTTTGCCAGTATCTGCGAATTCAAATATGCATAAATCAAGACTTTAGGACTTTAAGATGACCTTAAAAAATCTTGGTCTTTTTCTTCATGAAGTAGTATGATCCGAAATGGCAGCAGAAAAACTGCATATTACACCAGACTATCAAAATTAAACCAGATTTTAAACTGTACAGTATATCAAACTCTATAGAGAATTAACCCTCTGCATACCTTTACCATACGTATTCTGTTTAGCTCTCTATCTCTCTGTGAAAAATAGTTTAACTCCTCTTTTTTTAATGGGCATTGAGCCATTAGCATTCCAGACACTGAAGATGTAACAACAAATGTATTTGTTGTGCTGAGGTTACCTTGGAAACTCCAGCTTGAGAATCTGAAGTGTCTGACTCTAGGGGGTTAAAATCATATTGGCTCAAGTTTTTCATGTATGTCGTTCTGGAAATAAGGAGGCCTGGTGCATTAGTCAGTTTGTAGTTTTACTTGACATTGATTTTTTTACAGGTGAAAATGATAATTTTATCATGTTACTTTCACTAAAAGGAAGGAAGCTCCTTAGTCGTATTTGATTTTTAAAATTTAAATCAAGCCAACTGTTGTATTCTAATGCTCATGCAAAAAGAGTAAAAAAGATTACAAGCACTTGAATGCTTTCTAGAAGATCAAGCGACCTACCTTAAATAGTAAGTACAGTTCTGATGGCTCTTTGACAGATACATCTGTACCACAAGCTGAGCCATCAACACCTTGTATTTAATCACTACTTTTCTGAGATTAGTGCATTTTACTATTACAGTTTATCCCAGGCAGTCTCGGTCCCATTAACCTTGGCTTTAGTTTTCCAACCAGCAGTGCCATTTCAAAACCTGTTTCCACTGTTCAAGTATCCACATATGCAAAGTGCTGAAAAAGTAACCAGCTGGTGCCAGGCTTCAAATGGGGCAGGTGGTGATAGGAAACAGTGCCGAGATCCTGGAATAAGAGCACTTGTTATTAACTTAATTATACAGTGAGTGGAGGTGGAATGTGCACCACGTTTTCCCATAGAGATTTGACAGTTACATGTTTTCATCTAGTCAGGTCTCTTTGTAGTCTCCTTCCTGTGTGCCAGCACCTGTCTCCTTTGAGCGCAGTGCCAATCAGTGCCCATTGTGGCACAAGTGCTTAGGCTTTTCAGACAGACAAAAATGCCTGTGTAGGTGTGTGAATTCCTGAAGTGGAGCATGTGAATGAGCTCCTAACACTATGACAGCAATGAAGTTATGTACGAAACATGCTTTATATATATATATCGATGGAATGGCCCATGATTTTGTCTTTCATTCATTCAGTGATACGTAAAGGGATACACACATTCCCACTTTGGAGCACTAACTCTTTACATGACCTTGGGCAAATCTTTGATGTCCTTTTGCTTCAGTGTGGCAAAACTATAAAAGCTTTAAGAAGCAGGGCCTTGAATAGAAAGATAAAACTGCATACCTTACCTGGTGTGGGCTTTCGGGAATCATTTCTGAGGCAAAATATTAAAATATGAGTTTGCTTATGTGAATGTGCCAGCAGCAAATTCTTGTGCATAAGAGCAAGGTCCCAGAAATGGCAAATTGCATTTTAACACAGAGCACAGTAAAAAACAGTCCTAGAGATTCATCTAAATCACATTGTTAAATCTAAACTATTATTCAACTTTCTCATGTGTATACAGTATATCATGGGTACATGAATCACACACATGGTCTCCTATTTTATAAAACTGAAAACATGCAGGAAAAAAACATTTCTTTTAGACAACTCATTATAGTGTAAACAAATTCATTAAAATAAAATGAAAAACGGAGAGAATTCACAATGAAGCATTTGGCTCTTAATGTTGAGCAATCAAGAGCACTGTAGCATTCTGATCATTCATAAACACATACTTTTATATGTTCTGTCTTGGTAATGCTAACAGCTAAGAAAATAGCTTCCTTATGAAGGCAGGTTTTCAATGTTTCTACAAATCATGGAGATACTGTAGCAAACCTAAAATTGCTGGTTGCTGCACATTTTGGGTCTGTGTTCTTAAACAATTTGTGTGTAGTAACACATTCTGCCTTGAGGAAAAGTGCACTTTCATGATGAATTCTCAAACACAGACTGGATGAGCAGGGTTTTGCTGTTTTTGAAAATACTCGCATACTTGGCTTCGACACAAGCATGCTGAAAGAAGCTCTGACCTCTGTGTGACCTGTGTACAGTACTTATATTGCTTAAGACAAACACTGAAAACTGTTTCAGTCTTCATTCAAACACATCTTCATAAAACATCACACCAGTTTGTTCAATGGCTTTCAGTCACTTCTTCATTTTATAGATATGTTGTTGCTTTCCCCCATTTTTGCCGTTGAGGTATTTAGGAGATTCTATGAGATTATATGGGCCTCCATGCGTGACAAACATGACAGAACCCAATGAGCTTGAAAATGAGGAGAGAGAAAAGTTTTCTTAAGAATGCTTTTAAAAATGGCAATAAAAGAAAAAAAGATTGAAATAAAACACTCGGCTGGAGGTGATTGTGCAGTTGTCTGACGACCACCCACCTCATTAACAGCGCAATTATTTTAATTAAGAGCTTGAAGAATAATAAATTAATCAGCTGTTGGTCCAGGCTGATGGAAGTGTTCAAGGCTTTTTATCCAGCTTGAATAGTTGATACAACCATCTAAATTGAACTCCTAAACCTGTCATTTACACTTGCCCTGTCAAAGGGAAAAGTCTAGTTATTGGAGGAAAGCCAGAAAGGAACACTTCAAATCTGGGGCATTCTGAGAAAAACACATTTCTTCATTTAACACTTGAGACAATGTTAAATTTATCCACTCTTAATTTCAACACAATGTTTGATTTTTATGTATAGAAAAAAGTAGCATTACTTTTGGGAATTTTGAACTTCAGCAGTTTTTTAAAGTATTCTGCAAGGCCCAAAATTAATCCAGGGAGGAGAATTTTAAATGCATTTAAAGTCTGAAAAAATACTCTGATTAATTTAGATTAAAAACACTTGAACAAAATGCATACTAAAAACAACATGGATTCTGTAAAGCATGGCTTTATTTTTTGTTCCATAATTACTTGTTAGTTGCCATCTGAGCATTCAGAAAAACTCAGTTGGCAAAAGTATGGTCATAGCCGAATATAGACAGGCACATACTGTGTACGCAGCATTAAACAAAATGTCAGTGTATTTAAAAGCCTTTTTTAGATAAGAAGGAAGATATCTAAAGCTAAGGCAGATGTATAACAGCTTTGAGTATAAAAACGTCTTAAATATACTGTGTATTGTGTGAATTTGTTGTTGGGTTTTTTTTCTTTCACCAAATGAAAAATAATTAGGATATTTTCTGGCATTTTAATTGATGTGTAACTATCTTTCTGAAGGTTAAAGTCAGATGAACAAAGTTTCAAGTCAGAACATTGAATAAAAAGGGATGGTCTTTGTAATAAGCTGTATTTTGTAGGTCAAACGCAAATTTTTGCTTTCCAAGAGACTCATCTGCTTGATCTTCCATAGAAATATGTTATTTCAGCTTCTCATTTCTTTGCTTTAGATTAAAAATAAATAAATAGAATTAAATTGAATCCAGTTCAGCATATCTGTGTTCAAACAGAAGAGAAGTTTAAAGCTTTGAAAGTCTGGAAAGAAATCCTTAAATTGCTGAAGGCTACAACAGGAGCCCTGTGATCTGGAACTGTACT